CCAGCAGCCATTTGTGTCCAAGAGGACACATCTCTTTGAGGCATTTCCTGGAAAGCTCTGAAACCATCTGCCAGTCTCTGATTCTTCATGTACATATCCACCAAAGAATTCCCAACGCAATTCTCATCCCATGGCCAGATTTAATCAGTTGTGCATGCACTTGCAAACCCAAGTTGAGATCAGAAAGAGAAGCCAAGCCAGTAAGAACAGTAACAAACGTGAAGCCATCAGGCTTCACTCCTTCATAATTCAAGCGAAGCCAAAACCCTGGGACATTGAAGTAAGAATGCTGCAAACAGCCAGCAATCACAGCATTCCAAGACACAATGTCCTTGTTGGAGCTCTTCTCGAAAACCTCTAAAGCCTCCAACAATTTACCATGCCTTATCAAGGCTGTTAAAAACGCATTTATCAAGAATATATTCGATTCAAATCCTAAGCGAACAAGGAGCCCATAAAGTTGATAGCTGAGAGCCAAATCCTGATGCAACGAGCATGCATGAAGCGCACTGACCAACGTGAACTCGTTGGGTTTCACCATTCCATCACGAAACATACTGCAGAACAAAGCGAGGGCTTCATTATGAAATCCCTGTTGGACGAAACCAGCTATGATGGCAGACCAAGTGACAACATTCCTGTGGGGCATTTCATCGAACAGTTGGTGAGCGTCGACAAGGTCCCCGCATTTGACATACATATTTAGTATGTGATTGTGGAGATAAAGGGAAGTTGAAACCGACCCTTTAATAAACTTAGCATGAATAGCTGTTCCATGGCGCAAGTTTGAGGCTTTGGCGCATTTACTTAACAAATTAGAATAGAGGTCTCCTTCCTCCGCCGTGGTTGAGGTTGAGAAGTGGGCATGAAAAGCTGGGACCGGAAATGGCTTCCTCCAAGGCCTTGTGGCTTGTAAAACCAGATTCAGGAGTAGGCATGACATCTTTAGGCCTTGACATGGAGACTCTAATATGTGAATCGAAACCAAACTAATTTTTCCTCGTAACTTTTTCTGGTTCTTATGCTTTGTCACAGTTCCCAGTTTCTAATGCAGTTCCCAGTTTCTGATGCAACGAGCTCGGATCCTCTCTGAAAATCTGCCAAACAGTTTGAGAACCCACACCACGGCTTGATCCAACTGAGAGTTTGGGCCGAAATAAACGACTTGCTCCTTTGAATTCAACTCTGGCTTAGGGAGATTGCAGCCTTGATTATGAGGCATCCAGCCCCTTTAATGAAAGTGCACCTTCGTTTTTTTTTTTTTTTATCCTTTAAAGGTGTCTCAAGGGTTTAAAAACCTTATATTTTAAATTAAAAATTTTTAGTTTAAATTTGAAATAGGTGAAGTGGGATTAAAAAAAAGGGAAGATTATTTTTTAGTTTATGATTCATATTATCTAATGTATCAAAAAGAGTACACTCATTTTGAGTCTTAGATGTTAAGATTGTTTAATTGAGCTGATAAATTTCATTCTCCATACTCTTATCCCTTACGCCCTAAAAATTACAATTGTTCCAAAAGAGACCAAAAGCTACTATTATAATATTAATTTGAAAATAAAACAATTATTGATGAAGAAGAGCGAAGGTAATTGCACTAATTGGGGAGGGAAGCTTGATTCCAACTTCCTAATTAACTTAAAAGCCTGTCTGAATTCCCAATGGAATATTCTACTCTAAAGAGATAGGTTAATAGTATAAAATATATTTTATATAATTAATTTACATAAAAAAATTATAAAAATTAACTTTTATTTTAATATTATTGGC